AACAAAAAATGGCAGCTGGGGAAACTAATGAAGATAGATGGGAGACCAGTAGAGTAGGAGGACCTGAGAAGTGCGGAGGGAAGGGAAATGGAAGTAGTGGGGAATGAAATGGACCAAATTATGTTATGTGCATATAGGAGGCTGGCTGTTTGTTGTGGATCCAATATAAAATTTGCAGTTTAGTAGGAATATGTAACATCCAAGCCCACTATTACATGTCATAATGCACCAATTAAAAAAGAAAACTCACCTTCTTAGGTCCAGCCCAACTGGATCTTCTTTCTTTGGAAACCAAGACAACTGATTAGGACCCATCACAGTGGTGGCATGCCATCACATCTATAGGTTCTGTTGTACTCAGAGGAGGAGCTGATACAGACTTGTTCACCAGTGGGCAGGAGTCTGGGGGCCATCTTAGAACTCTGTCTTCCACAGCAACTGTCCCACACTGCCCATAGGGAGAACTGAGGGCCCTACACTGGCTGACTCTTTCACCTCCTTATACCCTCCACGGACCCTGTCTCTAGGGCATCCAGTTTTCTCCTTATCACTAACTACTCTCTGGAGACCCTGAATTTTATCAGTCTTCCATCATATGAAAAATACTGAGGCTCTGAAGCACTGGGATTTCTCTCTTGAAAGATTCTCTTACTTGTCTCTTTTTATCAAGTTTGAGTGTGTGTGTGTGTGTGTGCGTGTGTGTATAAGTAAGTAAATGTAATATGTGCAAAATATTATAAAATCCAAACAGCCTGAAAAAGCACACAATGAGAAATCTCTCTCCCACTCTCACCTTCTACCCCTCTCTCCACCATGCTCTTCTCAGATTAATCAATATTATCAGTTCCATGGATCTCTGCGGATAGTTCATGCATTCAAATACATCTTTCTACAAATGGTAGCATTTTTGTTCTGTACTTGTTTTTTCTTTAGTAGTGCATCCTGAAGTTCTTTCCACATAAATCTAAATTGTCCGTTTTAATTCCAGCAACTTTACTGCAGGAAAAGAAAAAGAAGTCCAAACTAAGACTTCTGGGTTTCCATGCAAACAATTTGGGTTTCTTCCTGTCACTCATTTTGGGATTAATGGAAGAAGAGCTAGGTGAGGTTATCTCAGACAATGCCAAATGTTTTTGTAGACTAGCATAGCAGCCCTGAGTGGAGTTACACATAATCTGAAGGTCTGAGTTGGACAAGGGAGTCAGGTGAGGGTTTATCTTCATTGCAAAGAGCATCCTGAATAGAGAGCAGGTATCCCATAACCCAGTTACCAGCAAGAAACATAGACAAGCAACTCTGTCTTACTTTTTCTATAGGATGTCATTGTATTACCATAAATCAGCTTCCTTTATTTCTAATTATAATGAAAAAAGTGGACTTAATTGTGGATTTTGAGAAAGTATCTAAAAACTATTCTGAAGATTCTCTCCATGGAAAAATATTTTTGTAGTCTGAAACAACCAAGTATCAATTAGATATTATGTGGAATCCATATCATAGGGATGAGGGTGACGGTGGTGGGGAAAGTTAATTTATGGAATACGACAATTGAATAGAAGAACTGAGGGGAAAAATACTTTTAGTATCAATACAACATGGTAATTTCAAAATGTTCAAAGCTGGATAGAAATATGTTAGATTGTGGGCATTTTATATTATTTTCAAATTAAATGATTAGCTACTGATAGTTCAAACAGTAAGTCTCTCATTTTTGTACCAAGAACATTTATATCCATTGTTTTCTTCTGTTTTGATTTGCTGAACAATCCAAGTCCAACTTTGGGGGTATCCATTTTCCTAAAGAGTTCCTTTTAAAATCTTCCTGAAAGTACTTAGTGTACTTCCTATGACCCCATCACCCCTGGGAGGGTTTGACTTTTTTTTTAATTTTAATTTTTTTTTTTGAGAGAGAGAGAGAGAGAATTTTTTAATATTTATTTTTTACTTTTCGGTGGACACAACATCTTTATTTTATTTTATGTGGTGCTGAGGATCGAACCCAGTGCCCCGCGCATGCCAGGCGAGCGCGTTACTGCTTGAGCCACATCCCCAGCCCTCTGCTGAAGTCTTCATGAAAGTCACAAAAAAGTGGTTTAACCTCTAATTTACAAGGTGTTAGCAGCCCATAAATGCAAGAGAAAGTTTTATTCTTTGAAGCCACTTTAGGACCGAAGGACAAGTTTGTTAAAATGACACGACCACATTGAAACTAAAAGAATCAATTTTCTGTTCCTTTTCAAAAAAGGAAACTACAAATAAGAAGGCCTCAAAAGTGCAGTCCAGCAGGCATTTTCTCATCAGCAGATTTGTAATGGCAGCACCTGGTGAGAGCTTTACATTTCTCCAGTCTAATGTGACTGCTGGAGGACTTTCACATTTTAGTCATTTGCTTAGTAAACTTTCATTGCATAAAGTCCCACTGTGTTCCTTTCACAGTGAAGACATTTTCATGATCAAAGAATGATGCTTAGGTTTTTCCGTTAAAAATGATCTTTACTGTTTATTTAAATTTGACTCTGAATAAAAATAAACAAGTAAAATCTATTAAATCTGTAAAATGAGCTCTTCATTTAAAAATAACTGTTTTAATGGCTTTACACAAACAGAAATAGCAATGAAAACAAATGACTTAATTTAGATATGAATGATTTAAAATTGCTTCTTTTGTAAATACTCCCAAGGAACTTCAGAAAATTCAATAAATTGAAATTATGGAAATAGGTACATTTCTCTGTGGCTCTGACCCTGTTCAAGCTTTTAGAAGTTTTTTTGGACCTTTTCTCAGTTTTCAAGAAGTCCGGAAAACCAAGATGGAATGACCATACCCACTATTTGAAAGGAGATAAGCATCACATTGAACTCTGCCAAGTGTCCCTTCAAGTCTTCAAAGAACACAAAGAATAGAAGCCTCTCCAGTGCACACTTTGACATTTTTTCAATTCCCTCAATCTTCAGGTTGAAGATCCATTATTTTTAACCAGTTGCCAGAGGGAAATGACTGTTAATGAAATTCGATTATAACACATAAATAATAGCTTATTTAAAGTATCATTGTGAGTCCTTTAGTAAATCAAATAGGTCAATCATCTTAAGAGAAACAGAACAATCTCTAGCATTTTGTACTTTTTTTTTAGCAATTGTTGCATTTTCTCTATCAGTTACTAATAACACCTACTTATTTGGTTCTTTGCAGTTTATAAAATATTATCACATCCTCTTTGATTTACCTTTCAGGATTATAAAGCAGGGGCTGGGGTTATGGCTCAGCTGTAGAGCGCTCACCTAGCACGTGTGAGGCCCTGGGTTCGATCCTCAGCACCACATAAAGATAAATAAATAAAACAAATGTAATGTTTCTAACTACAACTAAAAAAATACTAAAAAATTATGCAGCAGAAAGTCCAATTCTGATAACATTGTTTTATTTTTATGTATTTATTGGCCTAGTCAAGTTGCACTTCTTATCTACCACCTGCTCTAATTATTCTTCAACGGAAAGAGGATACACTGGCTGTCTTTATTCTTAACAAGAAATAATAAATGTTGATGATTAACAAAATTTCAGTTCTTACAGGAATCTACTTCACTGTAGATGCACCCCTCCCTTGGTCATAATCACGCTCCTGACTATCCCTATCTCAGTCAGAGAAGTTCAAAACTTCACTCCTCCCACACCGCCTCTCAGACCGGGAAGCATCAAGCATGCTTTCGTGTCACTTTATTGCCAGTGAAAATGACCCACAATCAAGCAGAGAATCCAGACGAGTGGCTTCCATTTGATGACTATGAGAATCAGTGCATCGTCTCGCAAAACGTTAAGTAGCTATGATGACCTCAGTCATGCTAAATTTGGCCTCCTTCCAGTATTCTCAATCCATTCTCTCCTTATACAGAATCTGGCTCCTGTCCCAATATTGACACCTATCCTCTTTAGCCCTTCTCCACGATTAGCTCATTCTGAACCTTTTTGGGGCAGAGAAGCATTACCTTCTTCACTCTAAATTATGAAGAACTCTAAGGGGATGCTTCTCATTTCATCATGTACCAGCTTTTCCCTGCGGAATCCCAGCCCTTGGGTATTAAGCGAAGAGCCCCCTCATAAGGATGTGGCTGGAGAGGAAGGGCCTGTTTGCGTGGGTGTAAGGCGCAGACACAGAGGAGTAGGTTGGAATCCTCTGTGCTTTTTTTTTTTTTTTAGAAAAAAGTTTTCATTAGTACATTATGGTTCTACATTACTAGTGGGGTTCATTTTGACACAATCACACATGCATGGAATATATTTTGCTCCATTTCAACCTCAGGGCTTCCTTTTTCCCTGTCCCTCCCTCCCTCCCCCTATTCCCCTTACTCTACAGATCGTCCTTCTATTGATTAATTAATCAATTAATTAATTTTTATGGTGGTAGGTTCGAACCCAGGGCTTCACACATGCTAAGCAAGCACTCTACCACTGAACTAAATTTTAACTGGGGCTTTCTAGGTATACATAAAGGTGGAATTCACTGTGATCTATTCATGGATACACACAGCATAATTTCGTCAATTTCCTGCCGCGGGTCCTCAGTTGCGAAGGAGACCTACTCTCCCTTGGGGATTGTGATCCTGCATTCCTAGCTTGCTTGTTATGCTTAGTCACCAAAAAGTGAGTTCTGTTCCCAGCCTGCTGTGACCCCAGGGCAACCCTCCTTTGTGGGGAGAAGTAGCCCTTAATGTTGAAGTGATCTAGTTCCCTTCTTTTCAAAACCGAGCTCTCAAGTCACATGCTCTCTGGCGTGGGCTGCTGGGGAAGGCGTGGTCCCCGCTGGCACCCAGCGCCTCCAACCGGGTCACGAGAACTCAGGCGGTAACGGGGGCGGGCTTCTCCAGGGAACGTCATTGGCGGAGGTGACCAAAAGAAGGAAGGGGCTGGCGAGGGGCTGGCGGAGTCTGAAACCTTCCCGCCTCCGCCAGGCTTTATAAGCACTCGCTGGTGGGAGGTTGGGCTGCCCGGGTTCCCTCGCACCCGCTGTCTGGCGTGTCGCGCTGTCCCGGCGCCTCGGCCTGTCGCGCACACCCACCCTCTGCGTCTCACATCTGGCCCCGGGGACAGCTATCCCAAGCCTCCCTCCCGCCGCAGCCGCTCGAGAAAGTTCACGGACCCCTGAGTCCCAAGGTACCTGCTGGTCAGCAGTCCAGGGGTGAGGTGGGGACTCTTGTTTATCCCTTAAAGATGTCAGCTTTGTCAAGGAAGTTTTCGGGTGTCGCATGAAGTCATCACCAGACGCGCCTGCTGGCTTGGTTTGAAGGCGGACACTTACAACACTAAGGAAAAATGATAGTCTGAGCCCAGCCTTGTAAAACATGGACACTTACAAAATGGGGAGTTTCTGGAAAGTTTTGGAGATGTGGGTTGCCTTCTTTGTACTTTCCTATATTTTGTAAGTTTTTTTTTTTTTTTTCCCTAACCAGAAAGCAAAAAAAGTGTCATGTATAAGGGTGGCAGGAGCACGGAGCATCCTTGCCCGAGTCCCTTGCCCTTGCCCCCGCCCCGCGCTCTCGTTGGGGGGCGGGACCTTTCTGCGGGCACCCGAGGCTCCCCGGAGCGCGAGTTCCTCTGCCTGCCTGTTTCAGTTCGGTTCGTTAGGAAAGTATATCCGTTGCTTTCTGGGACTTTCCCCAGCTTCCAGAGCAGAAATCGGAATTTCCCAAATCCCCTGGAATCCTGAATTCACACTGTTCACAGCGGATGTCCGCAGCCTCGGACAAGTGTGGCCGCGCAGGTTCCAAGGGGACAGGCCAGTCCAGCGGCCTGGGAGGAAGAAGGCACAGTCCTGAGAACGCTGAGCTCTCTAAGGTTCTGCTCCTTCTGAGTCTGGTTTTCAGCACTCTTTTTGGAAGGTCTGTGAGCGCAGCACATATTGATTCTGCTGACAAGCTCTGCTAAACTGTAGGGTCCTCCCTGATGGCTTCAAAGGGGCGCTGCAGGGTGATGACCGCCGAGCGGGTTGGGCAGGAGGAAAACTGTCTAGCTTTGCTCCCAACTTTCTCTTCCCCTCCTATAAGCTTAGAGTGGGGTATTTGTCAGGGAGAAAAGACTTGGAAAATAATGGGAATTTCCTACTTTTAATCACATATTCTCTCCAGAATATCAGTGAGGAGTTGAGGCAGAGAGAGAAGAAGGCAAAAATTTTAGAGGGGTACATTTCCTAACATCATCCACAAGGAATTCCATTATTATGGTCAACTTTGTTTTGTTTTGTTTTTTGACCAAACTCTTAAAACTTGAGAAACTTTGTTGGCATGCATGACCACCCAGGGGTGCCAAACTTTCTGTTAAACTGCTTGGACACCTGGCTATTTCTAGCAAAAAAAAAAAAAGAAAAGAAAAGAAACAAAGATAAATCTCTGAATATCTTTTTATTTATAACATTTGAAGGCCAAACATCCTTCTGCAATGCCAGGGTAGTATGTCACTTCACTGGTTTTGCAGGACCTTGGGGGTAGGGTGTGTATGGGAGGGGTCAGAGTTGGGAGATGGCCACAGCATTGTTTCATTCAAGGCCTGTGCACATATCCATTCTTCTTTTCTTTCAGAGGAGTCAGAAGCCTTCTCTTGAACTGCATATAACCCTCTTTCCCCCTCCTAAGACCTCCAGTTAAGTGTACACTTCCTGGTGTCCAGCTGGGGTCAGCTCTTCTTTTGACACTCAAGCATGCAACCCACATGCCCTGTTTTATTGTAGCTCTTTTGTTAAAACAGATAATACTCTTTGTCAGACATCATCAGTGTTCTTCAACTTTGTGATGTCAGATTTCATAGTTTGCCAATTAATGATGCTTTGCTAATCTCCAATTCCCATAAATTCCTTAAAATTCTAAGACTTCATGATTTTTGTAAAGAAAAAAATTGTTAATGTTTGAATAGTTTGTGGAATTTTTTTGGGGGGGTGTGTACTGGGGATTGAACTTGGGGACACTCGACCACTGAGCCACATCCCCAGCCCTGTTTTGTTTTTTTATTTAGAGACAAGGTCTCACTGAGTTGCTTAGCACCTCACTTTTATGGAGGCTGGCTTTGAACTCATGATCCTCCTGCCTCAGCCTCCAGAGCAACTGGGATTACAGGCATGTGACACTTGGCTGGGCTGTGTTTGAATAGATCTTAATGCACTTAGTGTAAAATCCCCAAATTTCAAAGTATATGGTGAAAAGTAAGTCTCCTTGACCTGTTTCCCTCCTTAGAGATACCCATTCCACTGTTTTCACTATCTAAGCTCCATTGTCCTCTGTTCATTTGGTAGTCTCGCAGATTTCAAAAAGCTTTTTTGACCATCTGCACAGGAGATTTTTGTAAAAATCCACTAATCTAAAATTTATTATTTTAGTTATTTGTTAGTTTCTGCCTTTTCTGTTTTCCTTTTGACTACTTTGAAATGCCAGGGATCCAGGCCACTTTGTAACAAATATATTAGTTTCTGAGTTCCTTGAAATCAGAGACTATGGTCAGAGCAGCTTCAATCAGATTAGATCAGAGACCAGAGCAACTTTGGTGCTCCCCAAACAACCTGCCACAGTTGCTGGTGTATACTAGGTCCATGCTCATATTGTTTACACACAGGTTTCAGAATAACTGATATTGATGGTAAGCTGGTGCTTCAGAGCATATTCCTCCAACGAGGCAGTGCTAATAACCATATTTCCCTTCCCAAAACTAGAGTCTAGGTTGGTGGCTTGCTGGCTATAGAACACACATTCCTAAGTCCTCCTTCCTTTTAGATTAACTGCTATAGTTTGTGAAGGAACTGGTAACCAAGGAGGCAGAGCTTGTAATGGTAAGTGAGGGAGCATTAGAGTTTGAAACCTGCCCTTGACACTGCATTTGTGAATAGGCTAGTATTTAAATCCTTTGAGATTCACGTCCCTCATCTGTGAAGTGATGGATCATAGGGTTCTTTTGCACATTAGGAAGATGAAGTGGAGGCTTAGCACAGTGCTTGGCACATGTAAGACATATATAGTAAGTAAGAACCCTTGTTGTCAGTCCTTTCTTACCTTTGAAAGATAGGTAAATGCATTTGTCAGCTCAGGCTACTTTATGGTGCAGTAACAAATAACCCCAAAAATCTCAGAGAAGAAGGGTTGATTTTTTTTGCTTATGTTCTTTATGTATCTGTCTCTAGCCCTTCCCTCCAGGACCCAGGTTGATCATTAACTTTTAGAAACTTCTGATGTAACAAAGGAAAGAGAGAAGATGCAAATATACAGTAGCTTTTAAAGCTTCTGCTTGGAGCCTGGCCTGGTGGTGCACACCTGTAATCCCAGGGACTCTGGAGGCTGAGGCAAGAGGATTGAACATTCGAGGCTAGCCTCAGCAATTTGGTGAGGCCCTAAGCAACTTAGTAAGATCCCATCTCAATAAAAAATTAAAAAGGCTGGGAGTGTAGATCAGAGGTTAAGCGCTTCTGGGTTCAATCCCCGGTACTCCCCTCCCCCAAATTCTTCTTGAACGTTAAATTTCCACTCATGTTTCCATTCATGTTGACATGGTTCTTAAGGGGTGAATCACCATTCTGAAGGAGTAGACCAGTCATCTTTCTAATGGATCAGAACTGGGAGGGGTAGGCCTGGGAGGAAGAGGTAGCAAATACTTGACAGTCTGTGTTGGAAGAAGTCACTACTGGGTGCTCATAGGTTCATCAAACCCTATAAGAATTGATTCACACTGACCTGCTTATAGACCTTGATTTACAAACCAGAATGCCTGTTTTTTCCCTTGGATAATATATCTGCCCTGGGTACAAGGTGTAAAAGCCTACATGGAGCAAACTTTTCTTGGTGGTGAATTTGCTCAAAAGACAGAATTAGAAGCTAATAGCTTATGTAGAAATCCAAAACCAAAAATTGGCTGTCTACAAAAAGTCTGTTTATATCCAGAATACAGAATGTTTAAATCCAGTTCTTTTTTTTGAACTGTCCAAAGCCCAGGAATGAATAATGGCAGCTTATCCCAGACAGAGCTGGAGGTCATGGACAGATTCTTGCTCTTCTTTATTTACTGAATGTTAAGAGCAAATTCTTTGTTTTAAATTTTTTTCTTTAATTTTGATTTTTAAATATTGCAAGTGTAATACATGTTTATTGTGGAAAATTTTAAAACAAACAGGAAAACCTAGGAAGAAAGTAAAAATTACCCAGATAGCACAATAGCACATTTTTTCTTGTCAATTTCTAATTGCACCATCCCATGACTTATTATAATTATTCTCTCTTATGCTGTCTACTTCTTGAATAATGAGACTTTATTATCCTAATTAAAGCATCTTCAAATCACAGTGTAGGATGGATCAACCAGTTCTATTCATTGTGTGTTAATTCTTGCTGGCTTTGTTTTCATGATTATTTTTGTCACTCTTGGCCCAAGATTTTGAGGGTTTCCTCTCACTTTTTCTACTTATAACTGGACATTTCTTTTCTCTTTGGGTAGTCCAATATGATGTTACAATGTCTAAGAACTATGTGATGAATGAAACTGTAAAGATAAAGATGCATTTCCAAGTAAAAAATAGTAATCTTGCTCAGCTCTGCCACTTGTTGAATAATGAAGTGAATTAATTTTGGTTTTAGCAGCATAACATTGCAAAACAGAAGAAAAGATTCTATTTTAAAAGTAAATAGCAGGTGGGGGGCTGGGGTTGTGGCTCAGTGATAGAGTGCTCACCTAGCATGCACGAGGCATTGGGTTCGATCCTCAGTACCACATAAATGTAAAATAAAGATATTGTGTCCACCTAAAACTTAAGGATAAATATTTAAAAAGTAAATAGCAACAAACAGAAAGGGAATAAAGTATTCTTTTTTTTTCTTTTTCAGATCAGTATAGTTTTGATACCAACATCTAATGTAGATGGCAAACAAAAAATAATGAAATCTAAGCTAAAAATCAACCTCACTTAAGATTATTAGTGTCAAAACCCCAAACTAGTATAAGCAGAGGTCCAGCAATACAAGAAAGAAGCACACAAGAAAAGCAGGGGATGCTTAGCATATCTCTACACCTCATCACAACACAGATGAAAGGAACTCTATGGAGCTGTTAAGGAGTGAGCTATATTGAGATGGGTATAGGTGGAAAAAAAATCACCCATGTGCACTCTTAAGGAAACAATGCAAAGTCCAGAACTAAATCTACTATGTTTATATTTGTGAAAGACCTTAGGGAGAAACATGCACATGTGGCACATATGTGTGCATGCTCATGCTGGGGTGTGTGTGTGTGTGTGTGTGTGTGTGTGTGTGTATGCTTATGCTGTCAAGAACCAACTTTTTTAAGGTTAAAAGCAATCTTGATAGACTCTAGGAGAGAAAGACAAAGGGTTAGGGTGTGAAAAGAGATTTCTAAATTCTTGTTTTATCGTTTGAATTTTCATATCATATGCATGTAATTTTAAAACTAAACTAGTTTTGAAATGGCAGTTTCATGTTAAAATAATGTCATAAAAATTTTAGCAGTTAATTCTCTTCTCTGGTTATACTACTTTAAATACTCTGATTATCAAAAGTGAACATAGGGAAGTATAGTTGGGGGGCACCCGAGGGCTCGGGGCTATAAGGATGTGGTTAACAGCAGTTGGTTTGTTGCTTGTGGTTAATGACCAAAAAGCATCCAGTTGCTAAAAGCCATGCACAGAAATAAACAACTCCAGTACCAGTGCAGACCATGATATTTAGAACTACCTTGTGGAGATTTATTTTAAGTGTGTAATGTCTAAATTTAAAATTAAAGAATATGATAACCATTGAAAGCATTTACTATTTTCAGTCATTTAACTATTGGAACTCTAAGTGAGGATATAAGGAACAATATTTCAATTATTTGTTTATAACAAATTTCTAATAAAGTGTAGGTTTTATGGGTACAGGGTCCTCTCAGGGTATTCAAACCAGAGATTTTTTTAATTCCCAATTTTCTTTTTAAAGTACAACTGTCATATTTTATCTTGGCTAAAGTTATTCTGTTTCAATGAGAATGGATCTGAAATTTCCATGTCACCATGTTGTCAATAATCATCACTTGCTGATGTCCAGATTATATGTATGGTCTTAGGGTCAAACTAGAAATGAAAAGTAGAGATAGCAAAAGGTAAGACACCAATTCCGATAGGACTTGGTGTAAGATTTCACACATGCATTAGCTAATTGAGAGGGTCCTGTGTATTATGATCTATAAAAAGTTTCCATCAGAATACTAGAATCAAAGTTCTCAGCGATATGAACTAACTCTGGTGGCTTAACTGTTGCAGGCTGATCTTCTGGTGCACATCATGTCCACTTTTGAAGATGCCGACACAGAAGAGACAGTAACTTGTCTCCACATGACTGTTTATCACCCTGGCCAGTTGCAAAGTGGAATATTTCAATCCATAACATTTTATGATAGAAAGAAATTCCCCTCCACCAAAGTGATAAAATTTGGACGGAATTCCAACATCTGTCATTATGTTTTTCAGGACAAACAGGCTTCACGAATTCAGTTTTCTCTGCAGCCATTTAAACAATTTAACAGCGCAGTTCTCTCTTTTGAAATTAAAAATATGAGCAGGAAGACCAGTCTGATTGTGGACAGCCAGGTGCTAGGCTACCTAAATAAAATGGACTTGCCCTACCGGTGCATGATCAGATTCGGTGAGTATCAGTTCCTGTTGGAGAAGGAAGATGGAGAGTCACTGGAATGGTTTGAGACACGATTTCTTTTTTCTCCAAGACCGCTTTTGCAGGAAAACTGGCCAGCACAGACACCCATACCTGAGAATGGCAGCTGTTCATCCTGTTCTACCCAAAGCCCTCTTCCTACAGAAATGGATGAAAATGAATTGTGAACTGAGGGTCTAAGAGGAGAAACATGAAGGACGAAGAACAGATTGGAGACATTCTGCTTATTAAAAGTTTATTAGTTTAGTACATCATAGTCATCTGTTAGGCTGCCAAGTTTGGGATTTGTTATTATCATCGTGTTGTTACTCATCGTCTTAGTCACCTGTTGCACTTCTGGATCTATGAAGAATTAAGTGTACATTTGTGAGGGTTAGTGTGTAAAAATATCCTTGTGATGAAATTGTGTTCTCAAAATAAGGTCATATATTTTCTTTTTCTTCTTGATATCGGTTGGGATTTGCTTTTGTAAGGAATTATATCTTGGTTTGGTCACATCATTTCACAGCTGCCATTAATTTTCAAGGTCAAAGCTCCAGGCAGGTTATTAACTGGTGTCTATAGCCTGTTAGTACTTGTAGAATCAGAGTACTGGAATGAGTTCTAGAGTTCTGTCTGCACGTCATTGTGGCTTAAATATAAGGAGAAACAATACCTTGATTTTTCTTTATGGAATTATATTCTGTTCCTAAGACAACAGTTCTCCTTAGTCTCCTTGTCTGTATTCATTATCTAAAACTAATATTTAAACACTTTTAAAAACCACTGTTTAGAATTACTTTCTTACCAAAGTTGAAGTTTGATTTTTATGTACTTTACATAACTTTTCAATTTCATTTTTTTTTTTTTTTTTTTGTACCAGAGATTGAACCCAGGGGCAGTTTATCACTGAGCCATATCCCTATCCCTTTTTATCATTTATTTTGAGACAGGGTCTCACTAAGGTGCTTAGGGCCTCCCTAAATTGCTGATGCTAGTTTTGAACTCGTGATCCTCCTGCCTCAACCTCCTGAGTCACAGGGATTACAAGTGTGCCACAGCCCAATTTAAATTTCAATTTTTAACAGCATTCATGGACATAATAAAAATCAAAGTTTAATTCCTTAACCATTTCTTTGAAACTTTTGAAAAAAGGGAAATAATTATTCTTAGGATGTTCTATATAAATAAATATATGTAAATATTTATAATAAATGCTTAAACATTTCTAAAAATTTAGCTTTAAATAAAGTTGTATTTATTTAAAACATTCACATTTCACTTCTTTTAGCTAAGTTAAAGTGAATGTTACCTAAATAAGAACCATTTGATTAATTAGATTCTAGCATTAAGAAGTGAAATTTCGGGGCTGGGATTGTGGCTCAGTGGTAAAGCACATGCCTTGCAATTGTGAGGCACTGGGTTAGATTCTCAGCACCACATATAAATAAATAAAATAAAGGTCCATTGACAACTAAAAAAAAAAAAGAAGAAGTGAAATTTCCAGGTTAATGAAATGTCCTGCTATAACAGGTCCAATTTTGAAAAAAATAAACATATTCCTGTAACAGCCTTTCTAAAATATTTTTAATAATATTTTAAACTTTCTGGCCTCCTTCCAATGATTGTTAGCCCAAGTACACCTTCTGTTGTTTCAGACCATCAGTTTCTCCTGGCTATAAAAGATGATGTCCAACACCTCGGCTCCTCCTCAGCCCTGGAACTATTGCTGTAGAGAGAACTATTTGTCCCTACTTAAAGTGGCCCAAATAACTTTCAGTTCCTGTGTCCTGTTTTGTTTTGTTTTTTTTTTTTTTTGCTTACTCCCTGTGGTAGGCAGAGTAATGGCTTGGCCCAAGATGTGCAGATGTCCATGTGCTAACCTCTGAAACTGTGAATGTGTTGTTATGTAGCAAATGGGAATTAAGGCTGCAGATGGAATTAGGTTTGCTCATCAGTTCACCTTAAAATAGAGAGATTGTCTTAGCTTATTCTGGACCTAATAATTACAGGGTCCTTACAAATAGGAGAGGCAGAGCAAGATGTCAGAGTGATGAAATGTGAGGACTTGATCTGCTGGTGCAGGATTTGAAGATGGAGGAAGGAGGCTGTGAGCCAACGAATGCAGGTAGTCTCTAGAAGCTAGAAATCATGCACTTGATATCTAGAAGTTGAAAAAGGCAGAGAAACCTCTAGAATGCAATGAAATCCTGTGGATACCTTGATTTTAGTCCAGTGAGATTTGTGTTTGACTTCTTACAGAACTTGAAGATGATAAATTTGTTGTGAACCATTAAATTGCAATAATTCGTTATAGCAGCAAATACTCTGACCTGAAGTTATTTATCTACTATCTCTTCTAATCACTAAGTTGCCTTTACTATATTATCTTTTTTAAAAGAAATTTTTTTTGGGGGGTACCGAGGATTGAACTTCAGAACACTGGGCCACTAAGCCACATCCCCAGCCCTATTTTGTATTTTATTTAGAGACAGGGTCTCACTGAGTTGCTTAGCGCCTTGCTCTTGCTGAGGCTGGCTTTGAACTCATGATCCTCCTGCCTCAGCCTTCCGAGCTGCTGGGATTACAGGCATGCACCACGGCGCCGGGCTTACTATTTTATCTTTTTCTGGGATTGTAACTTCCTTTCTGAGGTGGATTTACAAAGTAGGTCACCCAGGCTGTTAGAATTATTCATAGTGCAAATGATCTTATGGTACAAGCTGTCTCTAAGCAAAGTGTATACACTCTAATGTGTAGGTTATATAACATTCAGCCATTTTGAAAGAACTTTCTACTTGTTTCTTGTCTTTGAGGCTGATGGCTAAATGCTAAAATACAAAGTTTTAATATTAAGAAATTTCTGTATCATTGTTACTGAACCCAAAAATGTGTTAGGAGATACATCCAGAAAAAACCTTATGTTCATATAAACTAGTTAATGATTTTTCCTAATGTTTAACCTGCAAAAGATTTGTTTGATTTGAGAAATACAAGCTTCAATTAAAAAAAGTTTTTTTTCTTAATAGATTGGCAAAAGAGAGGGTTACTAAATAGTAATACTACTATTCTCAAAATAATAGAAACTTTCCATAGACCAATTCTTTTAGTAATAATGGAGTAATTGGTTAGTATTAAAATTGTTTTGATTACAAAGCATAAAATTTCTGCCAGAGCTACCTGAGCACAAATAGGGGTTGTTACAGGCAAGCTGAAGTACCTCACGGAACACATGGAAGGAAACCAGCAAACCTTAGTCAGGATTCAAATGCCTGCAGCTCTGCCCCACAACTAATATCAGCTCCATTCTCCTAATACATGGTGGCACAAGACCATGCATAACTCCAAGATTTACATGTTATTGATCATTCAAAGAGAAACTGATCTCCTTATTCCAGTTCCAGGGAAAAGTCAGCTTGTTACCCCTCCACAACCAACTCTCCTTAGGTAACATGGTCACATATAATAGCTGCTCTGGTCAGTGACCATGTGGGTAAAAAAAGCATTTTCTAAACAAAACCAAAAGTGCCACAGTGGACTAGGTGGGGACAAACAAAATATTGATATTCTGCAGCTGAACTGTGAAAATTTCAACATATACCTGAAAGACTCCTTTGTCCCTAGGAATTGAATTTTCTTGTGCCAAGTTGAGAGGTATGTTAACTTGTGCCAGTGCTATAGTAACTTCTGAGTCTGTAGTTTCACGACATGGTTGTGCCTTCCACTGGTGAAATCTCATGCCATATGATTCTATAACCATTTTCTAGAAAATTCTGTGTGTACTATATGATGTCTGGATTGACTTATAGAAGCCTAACTTTTAGGCTTATATGAATGATGGTATTCATTTCTATGAAGGTAAGATGGGATATGCAGTACTTTAAATTATTTATATCTGTAGAAAAATTAGCCATACTCCTACTAACAGGGGATAACTGTTAACATTTTTTTGTGTGTAAGTGGTAGCTGCTTTCATGTTACTTCAGGGCCCTTTTTGTCAGTCAACACTTGTTTAATTAATTCCTTGTATTAATTGTTTTGTGTTAAAATAACTGTGGCTACTATTTTATTGTGTGGACCATGATTGAAACCATCAGAGAGCTTAAATTTCAGGTGGTGACCAAGGATGAGAGCTATGTAAAGTGTGATTGGAATTTATTTGGCTTCTAATTGCTTTGAGTTGTTCTAAAACCAATCACTCATTATTCAACTATTCATTCTACATGAAAATATTTACTTCTACCTCTTAAGTGAGGAATTTAGGGTCAGGAGCTCTGAAGAAAATTGGACAACAGTGATTTCAGCTGTTTATGGTCTCACTACTTTGTTACTGATGGAAGGCCACAGGGATAGAGATGAACCAGTCTGGTACTGTTGACTGTCATTGTTGTTTAAAAGCCAAAAAGAAAACTTCTGACTGTCATGATAAGGTACAACAATGGAACTTCACTTTAGGTCAAAGTGTCTTTTTATGACAGTATCACTTTGGGTATCTTTAAACAATTTTTCAACACTCAGCTAAGCAAATAAAACTCAAACTTCCCAGACCCCTTAAAAAATAATATTGACCTAACTTCTACAGGATGAAGTTATAGTCTTGAGAGTGAGCTCTCAATCATACTGCCTCAGTTTATCTATTTCTCGTGTAACCTGACACTAGCTCAGGATCCTTTTCTGAAAAATAAGGATTAAAATAGTACTTCCCTCTAAGTGTCTCTGTTTAGATCAGTTGCGTACACTTATATGGTCCCTTATCAGTGTTCCACACAGCATGTTATTGTGAATAGCACTGAGCACAGTTAGCTCCTTATATTTACAGTCACATATAAAAGATTTCTGAACTACAGAGGATGTTAGTGTATATTCACTCATTTAAATAAATTGTAATAATAAACATATTCATATTAATATTTTTCTACTTTAATTTTATTTTTACCTTTAATATTACCTAAGGATATAAGAATTAGATTCAGGAAATCCATTTCTTAGATAATTCTTGTGTGATCTCACCAATCAGATAATTAACTAGAGGGACCAAGAAAATAAATATAGGATACCATTAATATATTTGATATCACGTGTGTGTTTTTTTAAGATGGCTATGTTAAAAACTTATGACTAGGACATCTTTATATAGAGCAAAATGATAATTTGGGCCTCTACTAAAATAATATATCCAATTATTGGGCTAGGATTGTAGCTTAGGTTGTAGCTTACCTAGCACATGTAGGGCACTGGGTTCAATCCTCAGCACGACATAAAAATAAATAAAGTTATCATGTCCATATACAACTAAAAACAAAATTTTAAAAAATATATCAAAATTATTATTATATTATCTTGAAAAAGAGCAGGAATAATTTCAAATTATATCATTTTAGACGTACCTAAAGTATTCCTGGTATCTTAAATAAAAACCTTAGATTACTCCATACCCGCTCCAACTACCCCATTTCTCTGCTGAGAGCAAAACTTTTCAAAAAATGGCGACACCGGCTGTTCTTCATTCTTTATCCCCTACCTCCTCCGTTTCTATCCCCTCACTTGTATAACAGATATGCATCAGTCTTCATGTTCCCAAACCCAACCCTAACTCACCCATCCTCTTCTTGGGGCATTTGATATTGGTGAACCCCATCTCCTGGCATGATACCACACTTGTATTCCTTCTGAATCTTCTTTAGGCTGTTTCTCCTTCTCTTTAAAGGTCAACTTTAGAGAAACTGGCCTTCTCTGCTTTTATGCTTCCCTGGGGCGAACTCAGATAATGGAACGACTTAAAATACCACTAACCTACTAATGACTCCCAAACTTCACTTAGACCTCCTTCCTTGAGCTATAGACCTACAACCATAGGATCTCCTTGAGCTATAGACATACACCCTAGGATCCTCATTCAAATGTCTCATAAGCAGCTCAAACTCAACTTTCAAACAGAACTCTTCATGTCCCCCACTTTCCCAAGCCTGTTTCTTCCATTACATTTACTGAGTCAAGTCAGAGCCAAGAAGTTAATGTGAGGGACAGTTACAACTGCTATGTTGGCTCTCACACTCCCACAGATTTGGCCTTTAGGGAGACTCTGAGCTCAAACAAATTTAGATAGTTTATTACTTGCACTGATAGCAAAAACAACAGCAGCACAGTCATCTCCCTGAATCCCTTGTCCTTAGAAATGTCCCTGAGATGACACTGAACCAAAGGAACGAGAAGACAGACTATATAAGTGTAGCTGAGGGTAGTTCTGTTATTGGGGAGCACTGTTAACTGTGGCCAAGCAGTTTACTAGCCTATTTCTGTACATAAGTAGGGGTGAGGTAGAGTCTCATTCTTCACTGGAACCATGGAATTGCATGAGGAATTTACTTCATGGCAGCCTTCTTCAAGAAAGGGAGGCAGGTGACAAATTGCCCTTTGACAACTCCTCCAAGACTATTTGGCATGTTCCAGGAAGAATCAGAGTTTTTGCCTGTGTGGTTTATATGCAGTTATGAATAGGATAGTCTTGTTATCCTCATATCCAATTCATCAGAAAATCCTACAGTTTCTACCACTCAATTTGCTCTTAATTTCTGCATCCATTCATAATTCCAAACCACACCATGTCCCTTTGGGAGTTGTATACATACACTCCTGTCCTCTTACAATTCATTCTCTACATAGCAGCTGATCTTTGGAAAATGCAAATCTGATCACTATACATCCTGACAAGCCAATGGCTTTCTTTTATGCATCAAATAAAATTCGCTCTTAACCATGACCTAGAAGGCCGCATATGAATGATCTGGCCCCCTAACTATCCCTCCAACATCAACTCATCCCACTCCTCCTCTCATTCTTGATGCTTTCAGTTCCAATGGTTTTTTAATTCTTTCAGCATACCAAATTCATTCCCACTGCAGACACTTTGTACTTGCCGTTCCCTTTGATTATAACATGCTTCACAAAGCCTTTTTGCTTCCAGCTCATCTTAAATGTCTCCTCAGAGGGGATTCCTCTGACCTATCAAAGGTAGTCACCTGGCCCTCAGTTATCTGACTTCTCACACCTTGCGTATTTCCTAACTGATTTGCTTATATTTATTTATTATCATCTGTCTTTCTCACCAGGATGGTAAGTAAGCAAGAGCAGGGACTTTCTAAGTTTTTTTACTGTTAGGTCCTTAACACTCTCCTAGACCCTGCAGACTCTCCAATGTTTGTTCAATAAATAAGTTATTTCTAGTGTATTTTATAAACATAAAACAAAAATTAACATTCTTTTTCTTAGAAGTTAAAACGTATTTTCAAGTTTAGTTCCATCTTCCTTTCCTAATTTACTCCTTTTTGTTTTCACATCAGATTTAATAATTTTAAGTTGAGTCATAATATTTGTATCTTTATAAAGTAAAATCAGTAATAATCAAATAATTTATTATCTTTAAATGTAAAAATGTGTTTATTCACAATCCTTGAGAAGTTACCATTCCTTCAGAAAATTTTTTATGAACAAAAAGCCAAGAAAAATTACAATAGTAGCTTATGCCAAACCAAAAATATACATCTGATGTATATAAACTTTAAAAAGCATTAACACAGGCAATGTGAATATAGAGTACCTTTAAAATATTTTCAATGACATAGCTACAACTCAAATTATATTGACAGATGTACATAAAAGCATTTCCTAATGTATTATATTTACATATTAAATTATCATATTTATTTCTATGAGATTAAAAAAAGGACAAAAAACTACAGATTCATTGCCTAGCAGTTCAAATATTGAAAGGACCACATGATTTTTTTTTTTTTTTTTAAATACAGCAGGAACTTTAAGTTACTATTTATATCTGGACCTTCCTATATTTTTGAGAACATGCACGTGTTGCAAGAAAAAGAAAAGAAAAATACACTAAGGAAAAAAAGAATTGGTTTGTTATTAAATCATACTCCATCCTCAGCAAAATCAAAGAAAGCAATTAGGGAATGTTTTATATCCCTGGCTTTTGATATTGATACACAAATTTCAATGAGAAGGAAAGTTAACTATCACAAAATGCAGTTATATATATATACATATTGATAGACTTAGTTCCATCCCATTGAAGTACCTTGTACTACAAGGCAAAGAAAAGTGTAATAAAATCAATAGAACCTTTCATACCAGAAAGGATTTTATTTACTTTGAAATACCCGTATTACTCTTTTTATGTTTCCTTTTCTTAAATCATTCAGAGAATGTTCTGTAAAATCTAAGATCATTCATTGGAAATATAGAATTTTAAAAAATAATGACACCTAAAAACTTAATATATCAATTTAAAGTCAATATAGTAGCATGTAAAAGGAAGTGAAAAACCTAAATTATACATATTTCCTTAAATATCATTTTTTATTACCAATTTAAATGTCCAAACTCTGAAAGTTTGTTTTTATCTTTTGTTCAGATTGAATCAAGATCATCATACTAGTTATACAATAAATACAGAAAGAAACTGATATTTCAGCATTTCTTAGGGTCATCTATGCAAATTAATTGTGCTTAATACTAGTTAATAAAATCCAAAGAAGTCATAGAAGTAAATAATGCTGGAAAATGGATACTGTTCTAAATCTGACAATCCCTGGTCATGCTCCCTTCACATCTGCTGAGAATTAACAAAAAATACTTTTAATATTTTCACAGTAATGGAATAGGCTTATTAGTAAAGCATTTGAAGTAAAAGTAATGAACATTTTTAAAATATGTAAATCTATAAGAGTAAACAGGAATGCTATAACGAGTTAAAATAAAGGAAATTGATAACATGACAAAACCATTAAATAGGTCTTGAAAAGCAGAAGGCAGATGATAAAATTGCACTTAATTCTGAAGCAATTCAGATCTATCATTCCTATTCCTTTCTAACAAAATAATCATTTACACTGTGGTTTCTAACCTCCTCTTTACAAAAAGGCGCAATGCAATCATTTATACATTCTAGTTGGTTTTTAACATTTGGTCATAACTGGGATAATCAGGTTACACAATTTCACCCTATCGAGTCTGTTGACCTATATCAGACTGCTTCATGCCAGAATCAGACAGTTCTAATACAGGATTTACAAATCCAGAATACTCGGAGTTGCCATTATCATCCATTTCGGCACTGACAAAATCATTTTCCCACTCTAGTCCGTTGGAATCATCAGAGGCTGATGTGGGGTTACTTCCAGTCTTCTTGCTGCTACACTTAAGTGCTGCCCGGAGAATGTCTTCCTCCGTTTTGGAACGCTCTCTCATTGGAAGCATTCTATTCATGCCTAGGATTTGAGCACAGTTTAAAAAAATCTCAGTTAACATAAAAAGCTATATTAAAAGATTCCCAGGTTTTTACTATCAAACTTGATTTGTGAATTAATTTTTAAGGAGCCAGTCCAATGGAAGCTTTCTCATGGGACATTTTTGGGGTCTAATCCTGAGATAACACCACAGATATTTAAAGATTCCCACAGCTTTTCCTCCCTTCCTACTTCCCTCATTCTAAAGGACAGTCTGGATACAACATTGATCATCTGATGAAATTTCTGAAGAGTCATAAATCAAACACTGAGTTTTCTGATTGCTAATGTATTTTGGGGGGGGGTACTAGGGATTGAACTTATGGGCACTCTACCTCTGAGTTACATTCCTGGCTCTTTTAATTTTTTATTTTGATATAGGATCTCATTAGGTTGCTGAGGCTTACTGTGAACTTATGATCCTGCCTCAGCCTCCCAAGTTGCTGGGATTACAAGAGTGCCTCACTGCGCATAGCTGATATTAGTCTTACTTGTTAAATCAGTGTAACTGATATAAGGTTCTTTCTTACTTAGATGATAATTGCATTTCCCTGAGACTGACAATCACTCCAATGATAATAACAAAAATATTTTTCCAGAACGTACTAGGTTCCTGCTAATATTATATGCACTTCAAAATATGTTGATTTAATTCTCAACAATTTTATGAAGTTAAGTTACATCATTATTAACATTATTATTATCATTAACTCCACTTTAGAGTTTAGGAAACTGGAAAGGTAAATGATTTGCTCAGGATACCACAGTTATAAAGTGGTATGGTTGGAGTTTTTTTTGGGTCAGTGATGACGATGGAACCCAGGGCCTTGTGCATGTGAGGCAACTGCTCTACTACTGAGCTACATCCCAAGCTCTGAAATAAGAGTTTTAATTCACTTAGTTTGGCTCCAAAGTCTGTGCTCTCATAGTATTCTTACTCTCTACCACAAAAGAGTAGCAATGTTTCTAGAGGAAGCTGTTCTAGATCTAACTCTGAACAGAAATAAATGGGTAAAATGAAGTGTCAAAATCTTAAAGTAAAAAAATGTCATTTTACTGGCAATTAAAGGTAGAGAACACAGAAAAGAAATCTGAATTTGTAGGTACAGAATTAAAATTAGAATGGATTGATAAAGAGACTTTAAAGAGAATATCTAGACAATTTCATTTTCTGACCTTTAAGAATTAGATCCCACAGTATTTAAATTTGAATCACTGTTATCTGTCGTTCCTGAAAAGCACAGACTCAATCCAAATCCAGTAAAGCCAGTTATTTTTACAGATAAGAGCTCATATAAAAGCATTCCCTGGATATTAATTTAATTTTGTAGATTTGTAGCTGGTAGTTTGTTTTGGGGGATTTATGTCTAAAGGAAGCAGGATCGTACACCTATGAAAAAGTAGGTTTCTAGTAGACTTTTTCCTATACTTGGTTTTAACAATTCTCTCAATAACTTGAATAGTAACCTAGAAAGTCAATTAGCTACAAATATTTTTTACTTTTGGTACCAGGGATTGAACTCAGGGGTCCTTGACCACTGAGCCACATCTGAAGCCCTTTTTGCATTTTATTTAGAGACAGGGTCTCACTGAGTTACTTAGCACCCCGCCATTGCCGAGGCTGGCTTTGAACTTGCAATCCTCCTGCCTTAGCTTCCTGGGCTGCTGGGATTATGGGTGTGCCACCTACAAATATTATTAGCTTGGTGTGGATGACAGAACCACAAATCAGCATTACTAGAGGAGAGCTAAGGTCCATTCCATTTCAAAACTTAAGAAAATATTTAATGCTTATTATTTTTCTTAAAGTTCTATAATTGAGTCTTCCTTCTTGGATTGCCTATTTCTTAACATGAAAATGAAAACTTAGGCCTTGTTTAGTGATATAGCTTTTACAAAAAGAAAACCAAACGAAAAATATTTTAGCTACTGTTGAGTATGTGTGATGCACCTTGGACTGTGTGTTTTATATATTCAATCCTCACAATATTCCTTTATTTGTTCAAATAATTGTTTTTTTTTTTTCAGTGCTGAGGATTGAACCTAGATCTCATAAATGCTGGTAAGCTCTCAACCACATCTCAACTCTGTTCAAATATTTATAGATTGCCTACTATGTGCCAAGCATTTTTATACTCCCAAGTAAATTTAACAGTGAAAAATTATCTTTCCTTTTTTACAATGGACTAAATTGCAACAGCTATGAAGACACAGCAGTTAAAATTCAAGCTCATATCTGAGTAATGCCTTTTGTTCCACACCAAAGAAATATTAAAAATTAAATTGTTAATTTATAATTAACCCAAAAAGTCAAATGACTTTTTGCTTTAGACTGCCCACAAGGGGGCAGTAATCCTTTACACTGAGTAATTTCACGAAGTAAATTATAAAAACTTTCAAGAAATTAACATTTATTTTCTGAATCTCAAGAAACATTAAAAATTAAATAACTTTCTAAACCATTTATCAACAAATGATAACTGTACAGAAAATTTTTATATTGATTTTTTTGAAGGCTTTGTATTTATTCAGTTTAAATAAAGTAAAATACCAAATCAACACAGAACAAATTAAACGTTTAAGGTAAAATTGTGAATTATAAAATACCTTCTTCATCTTCCCACTCAAGATCTAAGGATGTACTGTCATCATTTCCACTAGTTGATTTAGTTTTGGTCATTAAATCACAGCTGCTTTCTGTATTTGGTGTCAATACTGTGGCATCTGATGACAGTCCTAGAATACATATATAAAATACAATTACATGTTGCCACCTGTGCTCTTTTACCACAACATTTTCTTTTGCAACAATTGTATTTTTCTAAATACTACTATTCCTTTAAACTTCAAAACATAAATTATTGAAAATATTACATTGGTAAGTTTCTGTTAAGAAAAGTACATTTTTTTTTTTTTTGCCATCTAAGCACAGCAAACATGCAAATCTAAATTAATTACAAGCTTTGTAAATAGGATAAACAAGCTGTATGTAATATTTCTAATACAAAAACACTGCTAAAACACATGAAAGACAGCCTATACTCTCCAAAGGAACCACTCCTAAGCTCCCCAAGCTTCCCAGGAGTAGAAGCATAGGAGTTGACTTTTGAACTTCTTTTCTTTTTTTTGGTACTGGATACTAAATCCAAGGATGCTCTGTTACTGAGCCACATCCCCAGCTCTTTTTATTTTGAGACAGGGTCTCACTAAGCTGCTTAGGGACTCACTATGTTGCTGAGGCTCGCCTCAAACTTGCAATCCTCCTGCCTCAGCCTCCTGAGTTGCTGGGATTATAGGTGTGCACCATCACAACTAGATGACTTGAAGAAACATCACAGTTTTAACTTTTGATACTTGAAGAAACATTTTAATCTTACAAACCAATTTGTAATAAGTATAATAAGTACACTTTTCTACTATTTCTTCCCACTTTTCCTTTGGTTTCTGGGGAAGGGTAGGGGTAGGATCAGAACAGAAATGGAAAAAGCAGTGCTGGACTCCCTATGTGGCTTATACAGAAATAGTCTGAGATTTTCCTTTGTTTCAAATCCTTTTTAAAAAGGAAAGATAATGTTGTATAATGAATAGCTATTTAACTAATTTATCTGGAAAATACAAATTGAAGGGTAGGGAGTTCTATAGAAAAAGAGCCAGGATTTCCAATTATCTGTTTAATGTGGCATAAAGTAAACTAAAATGAACAAAGAATATGTGAAAAGACTTACTGCTGCTTCGAAAAACTTCATATTGAGACTTTACATTTCTCATACAAGATTCAAAGTCATCTTCTGGTCCTGAACTGTAACAAAATTGAATTTTTTTGTAAATGCATAGTATGTGCATAGCAGAAACAACAGAAGAAATGCATAAGTTGATGGCATTTTGGTTTGAAGGCCTATTTCAAAAATTCGTAATTGCCATACAGTCAATATAACTAATGAAAATAGGTCTTAATTTTCTTAATGCTAACATGAAACTGAAAACATAAGATTCAAGTTAATTCTGAAGTCAAATCTCTAGAGCTTAGTTATAAGTCCAGCTTTACAATTATAATAACAAGGCATGATTTAGTTCTTTGAATGAGCAGGACTACTTGTGAAAAGATGACACTGAAATGACTTTTCTAAAAAACAACAACAAAAAAACACATTAACTTTCTAAGAAAGGAGATAGACTAAGGAAAACACAAACAAGTAAAGCTATAAATAACTCACCCAAAGGCATTAAGCTATTGTCATCACTTTCAACATGAAAGATGTGATTACTCTTAAAAATGCCCTGAAGTCAATTTAAATAAATGGTCACTTTCTGATTTAAAGAAAATAAATGCTCTCAGTATTCTTCCAAGACAGTCTTAGAAGCAATGATACTTTTCTCTCTTTTTTTTTTTTTTTTTTTTTTGGTGCTAGGGATTAAACCCAGGGTCTATGCATGCTACACATAGGCTCTACCACTGAGCTACATGCCCAGCCTGGAGAAGCAACCATTTTTAGGGATCAAATAAATGTGAATACATTCACATATATCCTGTTATAAACAGTGCTCTCTTTGGAAATACCATTGTCTACCGCAAAGGGAAGAGGAAATAGATGTCAATATATACCTTTGATAGTCTCCATTACTAGAAGGATGATACCGCTGCACAACTCTCAGCCTTTCTTGCTTTGGAAACATAATATAATACAAAAATCATTCTGTTGGAAAATTATACTTTTTAAAACCATGCATGCAATGTTGAAAAATATTTTTTCCTAGTTTTTAAAAATAAAAAAAGTGATTCTCTTGAAGTTTTTTTTTTTTTTTTACTTCAATTCACCAATACTCAACTTCTATACCTTGTTACTTAAGGGTAGAATTTTTGTGAATTTACCGGTGTGTAATCTCCCAGTGCTTAGAATATTCATGGTATTGTAAAAAGATAATTTTTAAAAGGAATATGTACCAGTGTCTATTCTTAGTACACTTCAGTACTTCCTAGTAACTGATGAAAGATGAGAGGCAGGAAAGGAATAGCTTAATCAGTACCTGGAATTCTATTCTGTCTGAAATAAGTAGTAATCAAACAAAGCATTTATAAGGCCTGGCTAAGCTGACTCAAATATTAAAGGCGATTGATTATTTAGGGCTCAGACAGAATTTAGAAGACCTGTCAGAATTGTGGCTCTGATAGTTATTTGCAGTGTGTCCCTGGCATGGTTTACCTTCTGCTTCCTCATCTGTGTATTACAGATGGCATGTTACTGTCCTAGCAAATATAGGGTTATTATGGAAAGCAAATGAAGTGGTGCGTGTCTGGGTATGTTTGTGTATCAGTGTATGCTGTACGGACCTATAACAAATACTTAGGGAAGGAAAAACTCAGCTAACTCAGAAAATCACCCAAATGGGTGCTAAATATGGAATGCTATTAGTCTCTAAAAAGCAAGGAGTAGAGACTTAATTATTGTAAAGTAAGTACCTACATTAACCCCCAAATCATTTTTTTTTTCAGAAGGTGAAACTGTAAAACTTCTCCATTATTTAGGATGCACTAAACAACAAAAAAAAAAGACACTTGCTCATAAAGTTTATCTGTTAAGACCCTCTTCTCCTCCAGGCGAGCAGGGGAGGGAAAAGGGAAGAGAGAATGAGAAAGACAGAGGGAGGAAGAGAAAGACAAAGGACACAGTCCACAAATCACATAACAATATCAAAGATATGACTTTTCAGTTCCTCTAGTTTTAGTATGTGAGATGATCTTAGGAATGCTTCAATTAACACTACAGTAGTGAATACATATAGGCAAAATATGGAGGAAGATACTAAACAGGTATGCTGGCTAAGCATTGATGTGCTTGAACTCCGGCTCTGCCATATATCAGCTGTAGGATCTCAAGAAAGTTACTTAACATCTTGCCTCATGGGTATTAACAACACAATTTGTTCTCTAGAATTGCTGTGAGGATTAAACACAAATAAACTACTTGGAACAGTTCCTGACATTTAGTCAGGGCTTCATAAATGACTGTATAACTGTGAGGCATTGTGATAATGCCTCATTTCCACATGGCATTTTAAGATATGGTACATTTGCTACCTTCCCTATAATATGCCAATGATTTTTCAAGACCTAAACTTTTAATCTTTCAAAGACACAAGAGTAAAGATAAGAAGTAAACAATATTCTTTTGGGGAAAAATTAGTATGATTTTAGGAAGTTTAAAAAAATTCGAGGAGCTAAAGAATTGTTAAAACAAAACAAACAAAAAAACCTCACAAAAATACACTACAAAATGCTTTAGAAATTCTATTTCAAGACTAGTTTTCCCTCAAAAAGTATATTTACTTTTCCAAAAGAATTCTAAATTTTGGAGCACTAAAATTCATCTTTAGAATAAACAGAAATTAGCTTCTGCTAATCTAAAGCTAAACAAGATTTGGTATCAAGCATGTAATTTTATATTATTCTTAGCTGTTATAAAGATTGACCAATTTGCCTTTATGATTCTTAAGAATATGCATAAATACATTTGTTGTTAAACAAGAAGCCCTTGATTCTAGGGGAAAAAAGTCCTAATTAGGATTTGTTAGAGAAAATAAGGAGAAAAGTAACCCTAATATTCGCTGGGGTCTTTTCCCCTCACCTCCAAGAGCTTTCGCTGCTTTGCTGCCCTGGCTGCTTCACGCTGTGCAGCGTATAAAGCTTCTTCTTCTAGTCTTAACTTCTCTTCTTGTATGGCTAACTGTATATGAACAAAACGATAAGGATTAACAAAAATCAGAACCTGTCTAACTGCTCTAAAAATGTTTCTATTTATAAAATAAAAAATAAATCATTAAAAATAAGTGATCTATAAAACATCAAAATTGATATTTTGAGATTGTTCATTTTAGTTTCTCCTTTTATAAAATAACCCAGATGATATGAAAGACATTATGGAATTCTTTAGAAACTGAATTATAATTTGTAAAAGTACCAATCTATCCTTTTCTAGAATATGCAATGATCTTCATTTTAACAATCATTCCAACACCTATCACCCTGACTGTTTTAATGGTTCTGACTCTCTTAAGTAAAAAATCTTTAATACCAAGGCTGATCATATCACTCTCTATAAAAGGGAACTAAGCTTTCACAAATCCATGTCTTTGCATCTAATCGACATCAATGCACATGTCTTCTTAATTTTATTACTAGTAATCTTAAAATTACTTTCAAAGTTAAGTTCTTGCCTTTCATAACACTTACTTAATGATAGCTATTGCATGTCAAATCTAAGTTAAAAAAAGATTTTTATACTTTTTAAAAAACTAATATTAGCATCTACTGTGTTGATTAAGTGAATGCACTTGAAATCACTAATTGGTATAAACCCTTAAGAACACTTAATAAATATATAAAGAAGTATGAATAATTTCATTTTGTTTAGTGATAGCAAAATTATAATTACAGTCTACTCCTATAAATACATTATGTAAACATTTATAGTTGTTAAAATTACTTGGTTCACTGAAAACAAATAAAGCCAAGACAAAAATTTAAACACTACTTATTATGAAACAGAATAATTATTTTAAAAGTTCATTTTAAACACAAAGGTAGATGTTCTCACTAACATCCCTATCTGTGAACTAAGATTAGTTAAGAATGTACCATCTTCATTTTTTGGTTCACATAATCCTATAAACTGAACCAAAATAAAAAAAAAATTATAACAGTTTGAAATAAGTTTTTACTTTAAATAATTTTTAACTGTATATATCAAAATATAGGTACAATGACTATATGTAATAAATTATTTAATGACAACTATCCCCTATAAGCAAGAGGTTTTATGATAACACATTTAAGTAACATAAAAGATTTTACCTCTTTTTGGATTTTCTTATCAAGATCTTTCTGTTTTTCAGCAATAGAATCATAATGCCGCTCTTGTAGATCGACAATTTCTTCTTCTGTAAGAGGCCTACAGAAAAGAAGAGAGGGTAGGAGGGTGGCAGGAAAAAGGAAAACAAAAACAAACACAAAATCCAAAATCACACAAACAATAAAACCCAGTGAAATTCTGAACATTACTCTCAAAAAGTTATGAAGGCAATTGATACTATGATTCAACTGTTAAGAGTAAAAAGTATACATTCTAACACATTATCTTTTGGTATTTAAACTGAATAAGATGATGAAGTATCTGAGTTTGGTTTTGCTGAACCTTTTAAGAACTGTGAGCATACCTTACACAGGGTCCACTCTAGTCATCTAACCTGTGAATATATACCCTGGAGGGTACCCCAAAATGTTCATCATAAAATATAAACTCTAGTACACGAATTCTAATCCCAGCCCTCAGATATTCTGAACTCTTAACTTTCCTATTTATTCTGCTCAATCACACAGGCATTCCCAGGCCCTTAATCCTTTCCTTTCCTTCCAGTCTATCTATCCAGGAAATCTCCTGGCCTCACTTCATTTATAACCAATGGGGGCCTGATCTGAACTACTTTCCAACCAAAATACTTTCCTTCTTACACTCCTATCATTGTATCATACACACCACATTCACTCAGATTACTCACATTCTGATCCTGGATCATTCCCATGATTTGCTCTTTCTGCTGTGTGAGACTATAGAAAATCTAACATCATTGGCTCTCAGCCCCAAGCAATTCATTTACTCATACAAGGTCAACTCCCTCTCACATCCTATGCTAACTTCAAAATCTTTACATACTCTGTAAGTTTTTTACCCAAATGGTTTTCTTTCTAATTTTTTTTCTTAGTTGTCAATGGACCTTTATTTTATTTATTTATATTTGGTGCTGAGAATCAAACCCAGTGCCTCACATGTTAGGCACACGCTCTACCACTGAGCTTCAACCCCAGCTCTCAAATGGTTTTCTCTTAAAAGATAAAAGTTCTCTCCACTTCCATCCCTCCACTTACTTAAGTATGTCCTGTTTGGTTTTCTTCCCATCTTCTAAAGAGCGAGTGTTCCTTAATCTGCTTAAGGTCAACCATTATGCTTATTACACTCCTGACTAACATCACCAGTGCCACTTCCCTTCCCTCATTCCAGAGAATTCCATGGGACTTTGCTCCATTAATTAGCACCTCTCTTATCTTTAACCTATCCCTTCTGTCTATTTTTACTTCTTTTCCATATAAAGAAAGAGAGGTTAAAAGGGAGTTCATAACCCACTTGAATCAAAGTGTGGAATATGATATTTCAAGAAATTTGTAATGTTTTGAACAACCAACAATAAAAAATTAAAAAAAAAAAAAAAAAGGAGTAAAAACCCTTTGTCCTGATTCTACCTCTAGCTACTGCTTCCTTTTTCTTTCCTTTTTAAACCAAAATTCCTAAACTTAAAACATATAATATTATAGATAGCATATGCAGCACTAAGTGCCAGACTCTCCTCTAAATATTACACATATTAATTATTTATACATATTAACTAATATTACTCACATTAACTAATTTTAATCCTCAACAACCTTATAAGGTATAAAGAGAAATTACATATTAGGGCAGTGGGATGAAGACAGATTAAGAGCATGTCTAAGGAAGTAACATAGTAGTATAAAGCAAAGCCAGAATTTAATCCCAGGAGGTCTGTCTAGCAACTTGTTCTCAACGGTGTGCTTCTCTTGCCTTCTTTTTCTTACCTCCATGTACTCACAACTAACCACAGTCTACCTCTGTTCCCATCACTCCAGTAACTCTAGCAAAGCTAATCACTGGTTTCTATGTTGCCGAATACAATAGACAAATTTAAGTCCTTATTTTATTACCAATGTTTCAGGTGACATTGTTGACCATTCCTTCTAGCCCATCTGTCTCTGTCTTTACCTCCTCCCTTGGCTTCCCTTGCTCTCCTTGTTCTTTTTGATGACTACTTGCTTATCTTCAGACTACTCTTCTGTTTGTTCAACCCCTAGTCCCTCTGTGCTCTGTCTACCCTACTTTATCTCTCCCTCAATCCTGGACTTAAAAGTGATCTAGATACTTATCATGGCTAATGAGCCATGTATAAGGTAATATCTTCTAATTCCGTTAGTGTTCACTTCATAAAATTTTGACAACTGCAGACACTCATGTGACCTCTGCCCAAAGCAAGATTCAGAACATTTCCATCACCCCATATAGTTTTCCTGTGGTCCCTTCCAAACAATTCTCTCACTCTGTATGCAATTTCTCCAGTCAGACACATTCTCCTCTGCCTAGATAGTAACCACTAACCAGTCCTTTGGGAATCAGTGCAGGTATAATCACCTTAAAGAGTATCTTGAATACATTCTCCATATACATTTTGGGCAAAGGACCTCTCTCTAGGGTTTCCTAATGTGTTCTCTGTAACTGCTCTTTCCTGACTTTTCCTGCCTTATACTGAAATGTCATTTATAAGATCTATTTCCTGGACCAAGATATTCTTTCTTTCCATGTAGGGACCATGTCTGGTTTTTAAATCCCAGTATGCTTCTTTCTCAAATAGTGCATGTAATTTGAACTGCACATTAAAAGGCTACTTCAAAAAATTATAGTATTGAGCTTCTAGTTACTGTTGAAAGATGTCAAATTCTTTTAGTAGAACAAGTTTAGAATGTCAAGAAAGAAAGAAAGGGGGATAAAACTGAAAAACTTAGAAATTTATCAATATTAAATAACTTTTTAAAAAGTCTTCACTAGGAAAGTACCTAGACAGTGACAACTGTTAAACTCTTTTATGTTCAAAACAATCTTTTGAGAAATACATTATTTGCTTCAATTTCCTGAAAAGAAAAAACTAACATTCTGTAATGTAAACTTTTCAATGTCTCAAAGACAGCAAATAATAAAGCCTGAATTCTCAGACAGCATCTTGTAGTTCACATAGAAGTTTTTATTTATTTATTTATTTAAAGGCTTACCTATGACTGCTTCCTGGGCTCTCCCCCTGTACAAAAATTAATTCGAAAATTAAAGAAATTTCAATAGCTGAATTATATTTAAGGCAAGCCAATAAAATTTTTATTTAATTAATATTTTCTACTTACATATTTTATCATGGCAAACAAATTTCATTATTTAAAGTGTTTGAAACAAAATCTTGAAAATTTTACTATTTTTCAAAGGCAAAATTAAAATTTATATTTAGTTATATAGCAGCCATTTGCTTATTTCTTAATTTTTTTTTTCAACAAACATTTCTAAGATACCAAGTAAACTTCTGCAATCAGGATAGACAACATCTTCATCATTTACAGTTGATCCTCATTATTTCAATCCAAATACATAAATTTACCTATCTGCTAAAATGTATTTGTAACTCCAAATCAATACTCAATATTCTATGCTTTCTTGGCCATTCAGAGATATGCACAGAACAGCAAATTTGTTTTTTTTTTTTGTGTGTGTGTGTGTAACAATGCATATGCCTGGCACAGGTAGAACAGGACATTCCTCAGCATTCTCGTTGCAACTTTCAGGCTATGAACAAGTGACCTTTCATAGCTATTTGGTGCCAAGTAGTTTGCATTTTTGTGTTTTGTATATGGTTTCATTGTTTCAAAATGAACACTACCTCTAGTGCCTAAGTGCTGTCCTATTGTTCTTAAGTGCAAGAAGGTTGTGATGTGCCTTACTGAAAAAAGTAAAGTTCATTAGATAAGCTTCACTTAGGCATAAATTTTTGCTGGTGGCAGTGAGTTCAAAGTTAATGAGTCAACAATACATATTTAATAAGATGTTTTAAAGAGAAACATATATAATATAGTTATATAGTGACTGGTTGATGAAAACATGTGTGACGAGAGGGTCTCAGGATTTACTCCCGTTATTCCTCTAGGAATGATGCTTCAATATGCACTAATGTGGCATCATGGACTTCAAGGAACACAATTACAACAGATGACAAGATCTGACTGTTTTTGTTTTCCTTTGCAAGGCTATGAAACCACCTACAGCTTTTTCCTCCAAAGTAAACCATAATTATTTTCAAGACTAATTTGGGCTTATGAATATATCTTACACTTTTTTTTTGGGGGGGGGGTACTGGGAATTGAACCCAGGAGTGCTTAAAAAAAAACACTAGGTTAACCACATCCCCAACCCTTTTTATTTTTTGTTTTGAGACACAGTCTCATTAAATAGCTTAGGGTTTTGCTAAGTTGCTGAGGCTACCTTTGAACTTGGATCCTCCTGCCTCAGTCTCTTAAATCACTAGGATTATAGGCATGCACCACCATGCCTGGCTTATCTTACACTTTTAAACTAGTCATATTTGACAACTGAAACACATGACTACCCAAGATGAGAAATAAAAATTCTAAATAATTCAAATAAACTTAGAAAACAGCACTACAAAACAGGATGATTTTCAACAAATAGAAAATGTGAAATGAGAGGAAAGTTAGTTTACAATTAGTTTAGTGAAGCTGAAAATTAGCACAAAAGCTAAAGTTCTTCTAACTATATTTATATATAAGAAATATACAAATTTTGTTGATTCTAAAGTGTATTTTTTTCTTTTCATATTTTAACATTTCTGTACTTAATATGGCATTATAACAATTAAATTATATTTTTAAATAAGTAACAATAACCACTTGAAAGAAAACTATTTTATTGTTAATATTGTTCAATAAGAACAAACAAAAAAACCTTTAACCAACCAAATAAAAAGTACCTTAGGAGTACACATGAAACTATAAGTGTTTTTGAAAAGCAATATAATACTGAGATGAACTACTGTGAAGGCGGAAAGAACTCTTATTTATTAGAAGCTTTAAAAATGTTGTATTGTGTTTGTGTAAACTTTTAAAAGGGAAAGACATGGAGGTGAAAGTGACCTTTGAGAAGGTAAGGAAACTAGGTTCATGAAATTCGGATGTTATTTTACTGGCAAAAAAAAAAAATGGTAGACAGTTCCCCAAATTTGTCCTACAAGTTGATAAATATATATGATTTTTAAGAAGGATTTATATGCAAATTAATTGGGGAAATTCTAAGTTAAACAGGTTTAAATAATTTTGTTTAACAACAGTCTTCAGAATCTTTAATATGCCAATTTATATCTTGAGACTAGTATTTTATATATACTCTGGGAAATGCTGGGCTAAAGAACAACTTAAAAATTTAAAGAAAAGGTATGATTCATTTTCCTCTTTCTTTAGAAAATAAAAAGGACAAAAAGTCAGAGCTTGCTGTGCTTTTATAGTTTAAAATTTAGAGATGTGGAAAGTTGGTCCCTCGGAGGTTAAGTAATTTGTAGGAACTCATACAATTAGTTTAGTAAAGCTGAAAATTAGCACAACTAACTATACCTGTATAAGAAATATACACTACATTTTGCTGATTCTAAAGAATGCTTTTTTCTCCATATTTTAACATTTCTGTACTTACAAAACATTTTAAATTTGAGTTTGGACAAAATGAAATACAGAAGATCAATATTAAGAATAACTGAAAAGAGGTAATAGTTATGGAAAATTGTAGAAAGGAAATTGTAGAATGTTTTGTAGAAATTATAGAATTCTATACTCAGAAATCCTTGAAAAATATTTTAAAGAAAGGTTCCATTCTAGATTGCTGAAGTATTTTACATACTTAAGTGAAGAGGTTAGAATTTTTGCTTTCTGAAGTTCCTTGAGTTCTACAAGAAGCTTTAAAACCTGTGCATGTGTAGTATTATATTGTGGGTTATATAATAAAAAATTCTAAATTCTTTGCTGACATAAATTAGTAAAAGAAGGAAATGATATAGAAGGGACAAAAAGTAAAACTAAATATTCTAAAATAAAATTTAAAAAATAATTATTAGAAGTAAACAGATGATTCAAGAGACAAACAAATATGAGTGTTATACTAATATGGAAATACTTACTTCATCACTTTCTACTAGATTCTCAAACTGAAAGAACAAGAAAGTAAGTGTTAAGAGGGATACCTGTCAAAGGTGAATATCTCACAAGAAATTGTAATTTCCTCACCTTAAAAATAATATACTTTATACACGTACTTTAGATAATAATGATCATCACATTCAATCATCATTGGAGTCAGTATAATATGTATACAACCAGAGATATGAAAAATGGAGCTCTACATGTAATAAGAATTGTAATAATGGGGCCGGGGCTGTAGCCCAGTGGCAGAGCGCTTGTCTAGCATGCGTGAGGCACTAGGTTCAATTCTCAGCACCGCATAAACATTAACAAATAAAATAAAGGCATTCTGTCCATCTACAATTACAAAACATTAAAAAAAAAAAGAATTGTAATGCATTCCTCTTTTATATATAAATAAATAAAAATTTAAAAAATTATTTTGTTAGTTTTCAAATCTATTCATGAGAAAAAAATAATAATATACTTTAATAAGATACTTTAGTCAATTGCCTTTTTATACATCAGCTCATTTAATATATTCAAAAGTCTACAAAATGGGCAAGCAAACATATACTATTTGTATTTATGACTATATAAAAATAAAAAGAGAATTATAGCAATATTAAATATAAAGGAGAAACTACATTCTAAACTATATCTTCACCTGACTTGAATATTTCATACAGGTATTTTATTTTTATTTATTTATTATGATTTTTTTGAGCAAGGTCTTACCTTGTTGCACAGGCTGGCCTTGAACTCACGATCCTCCTACCTTATGCAGTTTTATGTAGGTATTTTAAATATATACTACCAGAATTTTTCACTTTACTTTAGTTAAGAACAAATTACTCAATGTCATAAAGAAAAATTACTCAAGAAACAGGGACAAAAAAAATACCCAAGTAAGAATTTCTCTAAACGTTTACATTTATCCATCTATTTATTTGTATAATTATTTTCAGGAAAAATTATTGGTAAACACTATCCTTACATAGAGGCAGGAATGTGAACAATTTGATTATAATGTGACAAATGCTATTATGTCAAGTGACCTAATGAAAGTCATTACTATTAAACTACACTAATATTTGTAATTTAAATATAAAAAACTTTGATATATAACCTCTTAAGAGAAAAGTCTTAATGTTAACATTGTCTTGTTTAAAGATCAAGAAGAAACAATTCAAGAAAAGAAAACTGTTAAAAATTATTTTTTTTGTATTGGTTTGTGATATTTTTAAAAAAACTAATTCAGTTTACACACTTCCTTATTTAACATAGAAAGCAGTGAAGAATAGTTTTCAAGTTTTGGAGCAAGGTAGTTTAGGACTGGATTTTGTTTTCTGCCACTTCCAGGTAGCACTCTATAGTCCAATTTTTTCATCTGTCTAAGCCTCTGATTTCTCATCCATAAAAGAGGATAACTATCATATGTTTACAAAAGAGCTATAGTAAGAATTATGTACAGTGACATTTCTCAACCATATGGAAAGTGATTGGTACATAGTAGGAGATTCAGGAGCTTCTACTGTTATTTGCATTTTTATAAGCAAAGAAAAAGCACTCGGTGCTTCTGCTATGTGTGATATATCAAAGTGCATAAATGCATTCTACTGTCATGTATAACTAATTAAAACAAATTAAAAAAATTTTTAAAAACCAATTTGCTACTTTGATTCTGCTACATCTCTCTCTGATAGGGCAGGTCAACAGAGCCACTATCACTGATAGGACAGCACCCTTTCTCTGAGATGTATAGGGTAAAATGAAAACAAACCTATTAGGAGAATAAACTTCTCCCTACACACTCTTCTTCCTAGTTGCCCATTTTTTCCCCCTCTTCACTAGAATCAATAATATTGCAGTGTAAACAGTCTGAACTAAATTTGGGTCTAGATTATTTCTCCCTAATTGAACGTTTCTTCTGCTCTTCTGAAGGCATTTTTAATCCAATCAAATTCATGATTCTACTTACCTCTATAGTTAAGTGCTCACCTCTTGAGCATGTTCTAAAATACTTGGATCTGGGAAGGAAAACGGAAAAACAACCGTAAAAATCAAAACTGACCCTAAAACTGAATTAAAGTGATGGCATAAAAATATTTCCTCAAGAGCAACTTTAAATTCTCAACTATATAGTACCTTATATTCACAAAAAGGAACAAACAAATTTACCAAACAATATAGTCTAAACTTTATTGAGTTTAAATGTTTAGTCAACAGATATTTCTTTTTCCTGGTATTAATACTTACTAAACTTATACTAATTAATTAGTTTATGTCATTATTACATGAAACAGATTACAATTACATTTTTAAAATTTATCTTTTTATTACTGTCTCAATATCTTGTTAAAAATACTGTTAACCAGGAAAAATCAAATAATCCAATCAATAAATGGGCAAATAAGCTAAAACAAATATTTCTCAAAAGAAGAAATACAAATAACCATTAATTATATGAAAAAATAATTCAACATCCTTAGCAATCAGGGAAATGAAAATCAAAACTACACTGAGATTTCAACTCACTCCTATTAGAACAGCAATCACTAAGGACACATTAACAATAATGGCCAAAAAGGATGTGTAAAAAAAGGTACACTTATACATTGTTGGGAGAATGCAAATTAGTACAACCATTTTGGAAAGCAGTATGGAGATACCTTAAAAGTCTAGGAATAGAACTACCATAGGACCCAGCTATCCCACTCTTTGGTATTCATCTAAAAGAAATATCAACATTCTATAGTGATATACACACATCAATATTTATAGCAGTAAAATCACAATAGCCAATTATGGAACCAGCTATGGATAAATAAAATGTGGTATATATACACAATAGAGTTCTACTCAGAGATAAAGAAGAATGAAATTATGTCATTTGCTGATAAACAGATGAAGTTGGAAAACATCATGTGTGCTATAAGAAATAAACCAGACTCAGAAAATTAAGGTCCAATGTTTTCTCTCATATGTGGGAAAAACGGGGAAAAAATGAGTTGGAAAAAAAGGGGGGGAATCTCATGATAATGGAGACCAATTCAGTATAGAGAGAGGACTGAGAGGGAGGCAGGAGGGGAGGGGAGGGGGAAGTACTAGGGAATGAAATCTACCAAATTATGCTATGTCCATATATGAATATATCACAATGAATCCCACTTATATAATCATAGTACTCTAATTAAAATAATAATAATAGAAGAGAGATCAGTACAGCAAAGCAAGTAGATCATAGGGAGGGAGGGAAAGAGGGAAAGGAAGATAATGGGGAAGGAGACTAATGAATATGGCATAATGAATCCCACTAGAAAAACCCCCCAAATTTAAAAAAATACTGTTAAGTAATACACAAAAAGTATGTCCTCAAATTCTGTTAAAATATGTAAAACATCAAAAATCTAAAAAGGTATTTCTGAAAATATGCTAAAGAAGTTATCTCTAGATAATGGAGTCATGTATCTTTATGCAGGCTTTGTGTTTTCTTCCTATGCCCTCATTAATAAAAGAAGAAAAACAATGCCTACACATGTCAATCAAACAATTCCTTACATTAATTTTCCAAGTAGGGCCAACTATTGACTTTAATCATTCTCTTTTGCTTCTATTACAGAAACTTACATATGGTCAAATAAACATCTTTATTATCATACTTGCTCCAACAATTTGTCTACACTGTAACTACTATAGTATCAAAGTTGGTCTAGAACAGAGTCTTCAAATTCTTTTATTACTGGAAGTTTCAGGAAACTAAAACTTTCACTTATGATTCCTTTTATAGCTACCAAAACTGGATGAAGGAGAGGGATGCTCCCTATGGGGATCCATGTCTACACCTGGGTTGCTGATTTGTCAAGAAATTTTTGGCAGAAAACACTCCTTCAAGAAATGGGGAGAGCCCTGGGGTGAGGACCAGTCTGAATGCTTTGTATTATGTATACATGGATCCATATTCACATATAGGATTGCTAATTAGTCAGCATTTTTGGACAGAAAGCTCCCCTTCAAGAAATGGGGAGGACCCTGGGATGACCAATCTGAATACTTTGTATAAGAGTTAGTAGGTTCAGTGAAAGAGAATGTCATATTGTCATGACTAAAGGATAAAAGTAGCAATGAAATTATACTTATGTATCTTTTCTTTCTTTCTTGTGACAATCTTTATCTGCTGATAGATGCAAAACAGTTCTTTTTTGCCTACTCAAGAGATCACTGGTAAACTGTAGAAGATTCTGTATTGTTCCACAGATCTTCTGGAACATACCAAATACAAACATAATATCCTTAATCCTCTTACTATTTAGTGCATCCACTCCTGTCTTTTTCATTCTCAAACAAAATCATAAATGAGTTGAGCCTCCCAGTAGCCCTGTATTCTGGCACTAGGATTCCAGCTTTGGGTCACATAAGCTTCTCTCCCTGCAACCTTCACTTTATTCCCTTGAATGAAGACTGTCTCTGATTAATCTATTTCCCCTTCCAGGTTTACCAACCTGTATAAATGAACAGTGAAATGAAGTTCAGTAATACTAGGTAGCCCAATCAATATAAGGCATCAATCAGTATGAAATAAAGCCGAAAAAAGCTTATGTAGAACACTATCAAAACTCAGGGAAGTAATTACTCAACTACATTTACATATGATGGCAGTATGCTATTCTATTCAAATTTTACATACATAAGGTAATTTTAGTAGAAGCCAAAGGTGGTGTTCATTGTAAATGTCTCCCTTATCCATCCCCTGTATCCACAACCAGCACCCGAGAGGACAATCATGTCATTACATGGCTCTGCCTCTGAATATCTGACCCAGCTAGTCGTCCCCGACATCTCATTTGATTGGCTTGGGGTTATTCAGAGACAGAGACAATGTGCTCCTAAAAGACCTCAAGAGCTGCTGGAGATTATGATTCCTATTAATCTGCAACAAGAGGAATGAAATCAACTGAAAGAGTGCTCTCTCCGATAGCACTGAAGTCATCTCTAAGGAGCTGGTACATCTCTGCCTGGCTCACAGTTCACTACTTGAGAAACTTAATATTTCTGTAATAAACTCCTTTGCTTAAAATGTTTGATCTGGGCTTCTGTTCCTACAAAGTCCTGACTAAAAAATAAACATGATTCAAAGAGATACCATGACAAATAAACCAGAAAGCAGAATGTTAAAAATGTTAAAAAATATTTAAAAACCCTCAAATTTTCCTTTTGAAGTAGACTGAGACCTCATTCACAAAGACACATACATTGATTCCTATTACCATAAATGCTAAGATTATATTGATAGGTTCAAATAAATATTCAATTTGACAAACTTGGGCAACATTTTTATCAAAGAAGCTTTATTTGAGATATATCTGAAAATAAGGTCAATATAATAATATTGATTTATATATATGTTTTTATGAATTATAGATGTCTGTTTTTATTTGTTTGAACATTGCTGGCACCTGTATAGAACCCCCAAATGTGCAGCAAGTATTAAAAAATATTAAATTTGATCACTGATATTTTGCCAAATTTCAGCCATATAAAAATCATAGTTTTTTTCCATATTTTCCTGTATTTTCTATTTTCTCACGATACATATTTTAAAAGTGATTAGAAAGCCAACTGTTTGAAAGTACCACTTCAAATGTCTGAGAGCTCTAAACTACTTAAAAAGCTAATGAAAGAAATTAAGACTAAAATATTACTGGATCCTTAAAAGTCCAACAAATTTGAAATATAACCTTTTTAGTGTTTCCTGTGATGAATTCCTGACCTTTTATATTTTCTACCTCATGATTTTGTTCTAAAGGGAGGAGCAGGCTCTTGGCAATTCTTCACTATTTGCTGCAGGTAAAGATGAAACTAAGTGAAAGGTAAGCAGAACAACTGGGGTGGGAAATGGAGAAACATAATCAGTAAATTTTTGTTTTGTTTTGTACAGGGAACTGAACCCAGTTGCTTAACCACTGAGCCATATTTCCAGTTCTTTTTTTTTTTTTTAGTAAGTTGCTGAGGCTGCCTCAAAGCTGAGGTCCTTCTGCCTCAGACTCCTGAGTCACTAGGATTACAGTTATTCACCACTGTGCTCAGCAGGCTTAAGTTTTTAAACTTATCATTATCAGTACCTTCACTAAGTGCTGGACACTGTTCCAAGTGCTGGCAATGTAATAACTGTCAATAAATACATAAAGGCCTTGAGAACACTCTTGGGAATGAATGATAATAAATGCACAGATAATGAATGCATCAGAGGGTGGCACTAGCCATGAAAGCCAAGAAAGGAGACATATGAACCAGAAATAAGTTATAATGGAAGATAAACAGAAAAGCAGAATAGATTTGGGGAAAAATAAGGCTCAGCCAGGGGGAAGGAAGTTATATTATACAGGGTGCCCAGAGAAGGGATTTTTGCTAAAGTTGAATCAGACCTCCGTGAGGTGGCTCATGCCTGTAATCCTAGCAACTCTGGAGGCTGAGGCAGGATATCAAGTTCAAGGCCAGCCTCAGCAATTTAGTGAGGCCCTAAACAACTTAGTGAGACTCTGTCTTGAAATAAAAATAAAAAGTGCTGGGGATGTAGCTCAGTAAAGTGTCCCTCAGTTCAATCTCCAGTATCTAAATAAGTAAATAAAGTAGAACTGGAATGAAGACCCTAAGGAAATGAGGAAACCAGCCAGGATATTTGGAGGAAACAAATTCTAAACAAATGCAAAGACACTGAGGCAAAACTGTCCTTGGCACATTCTAAGAAAGCAAAGGGGTCAGAATGGCTAGAATGAAAAAGGGAGATGAGGAATGAGAAATGAGAAATAAACAGCGAGGGTCAGATCACAAACAAGCCTTTGCAGGTATTTTGGATTTTATTCTTTTTTTTTTTTGTTTTTTTAATAAGAGAGTGGGGGGGGGGGGGGGGGGGGGGGGGGGGGCAAAGAGAAGGAGAGAGAGAGAGAGAGAGAGAGAGAGAGAGAGAGAGAGAATTTTTTAATATTTATTTTTTAGTTCTCGGGGGACACAACATCTTTGTTTGTATGTG